AAACCATTGCGCCGTTTTTTTGCAGAAAATATTTACGGATGAATGCATCACGAAAAACAAACAACAGTTTGGATATACGGATGAACATTATTTTACAAACGATTGTATTTTTTTGTTCAGTCAAGAATTTCAAGTTTTGTAATGAGCTCTGAGTAGATGGGTTCAGAAACCCGACATGTGTGCAATTTTTTTTTCATTCGATCTTGCTAACAAACAAAATTAACTTTCAACTTTATATATTAGTTGACTTGTAAAATAACCACACAAACTCATGATTCAAAGCCAAACTAATGTTTCCGGATTGTGATTTACCCGCGTTGCATCGTGCGGGTACACCACCAATATACATATAATCATTTATATATTATTATTTTAAGTTATATCATATAACTGTTTTATGTGTATATTTTTTAATTATAATATATATATATATATATATATTATGTATACATCTGTACAAACTATATATTGTTATTATTATACACACACACATGCATATATATCCATTGTATATTATTATGATTTTAAGTTATATTATRTAACTATTATATATATAGCTAGTTATATATATTATACATAGTTTTCATTTATACTTTTATATTTTTAGTATATATATCTATACTACATTAATAACCATTTACACCAAAGTCTTAGGTACAAGCCTTTAAGCACAACTTACAACCATTTTATGCAACAATTTCAAAAATCTCTTAATTGCAACTCATAAAGCATGATATACAAGTTTTTATGCATTAACTAAAACTACAACTTTGACATTGTAAGTCCTCTATGCACCATATTTTCTCCCATTTTAAGAAAAACTCTTCATCTCCTTCTTGTGAAGAAATATATATACTAGTTGTGTACCCGAGCAAAGCGACGGGATGTAAAATTTAAAAAGATGTAAGCGAACATACCGATTATGTACAAAGATTTGAGGGAAACTGAAGCAATCCAATAATCTACTTGATGTTGAAATTTGACAACCGATTGATTCTAATTTGGTTATGCATGAGATGTCGTATTATGGAACTATTTATCGATCTCAAAAGAAAGCATGACTTGACTTATCTTATGAGTGATCAAAATTGCACAAGTCCAAAAACCCCTGCTTAGAGGGTGTTTGTGACAGCTTATTTGAAACAACTTATGCTTTTCTACAAAAACACTTATCAACTTATTATACGTCAGAAGGGTTTAACCTTTTCAAAAACTCCTTATTACTGGGTTGGCACCGGTATAAGTTGTTTATCCAAACACTCAAAAAGGCTTATTACCGATGTCATACCAGAATAAGTCAATAAGTTGTTTTAATAAACAATTATATGATATAACATACCAATAACTCTTATTTATCATATTTAAGACTTTTATGAAATTTGATTTATAAAGATAGTATACATATAGGTAAACAATAGATAAATAAAAGGGATATAAAAGTAACATGAAGATACACTAAAATATTTATAAGTCACTAACAACAATAGATAAATAAAAGGGATATGTAATTAATACGAAGATACACTAAAATATTTACAAGTCAATAACAACATTCATAGTGCATGCATCATCTAGTTTTTCTATGTTCATTTTTCCCTGAAAGATCTAAAAGAGGAATATAGTAAAAGAATTACAATAAGATCTGATTTAATACAACCATAAATAGGAACTATTCTCCAAATTTCCACCATTTTATCTTCGATACTCATCCCAACCAAGCTTCTATTAGATATGTTTTGATGCACCCATTAAAGCACACACTTTCTTTATCAACCAGAAAATCAAAACCTGATAAAGCCCAAAATTCAGCTCAGTAAACAACAGATAAAACACAATGCCTTGAATTTTGATTAAAATCATCAATTATGCAAACCAGCAGACCAACATATGCAACAAATGGGCAAACACAGGTAATAAGAAATAGCAGACCAAAAGATGGGAAAATTAGGAGAAAGTCAGTCCCAAAATAAGAAACCAGAATAATAGCAAGAAAACACTAATCAGATCTGATCAAAATAAACCAAATCAGCCAATGTTAAGAGAAGATGGAGTTAGAAACTCCTAGTGAAAGAATCTAGTACTATTCAACATATAAAAACCTTTCATATCGAAAGACTAACCACTATAGCATACATGTGTAAACTTTCCAATATCTTCACACAAATAGAAAGATAGATGGACTGGTGTTTCAATGTGATCAAAGTCGGTAAGAATTGAACCTCAAAACCTTTTTGTGATAGCCGCCTGCAAAATACAACACCTAAATTGAGAAGCAAGACATAATACTAAAAGTCCAAAACCTATAAAAAGATGATGCAATAACTTACATATTGGAGATTAACTCTTACTCAATCTACAAACCATTTAGTTGAAACATTAACACACGGAAAAGGTTATTTTCTTTCATCAAGGTTGAAGTAACAGTAAATATTAATCGTATAATTGTAGTCGTGTGAACCTTATTTTTCTTGCTAACACCAACCATATAAAAACTAAACATTTATAATTATACATATATAACCTTATTTGGCTTTAATCGTTCAAGAACAGATCTAGGGATAGAATCAATAAATAAGTTTAATTATATACTAAGGGGCCGTTTACAAAACGCTTACCCGGTATGTACTTACTGGGTAATTTTCCTCACTGGATGAACATGGCAAGGGTCAAGAATCTTATCCGGTAAGAGCGATGATAAGGATGAAGATTCTTACCCGGTAAGTGAGCGATGATAAGGATGAAGAGTCTTACCCGGTAAGTGAGGGTGACGACTCAATAGATAGCAACTAAAAAGTAATCAATAGAAAAATCGATTCCGAGATGGAAAACTAATTACCTCTATTGATCAATTTCGGTAGGTGGAGACTGAAGCAAGAAAGCAATCTACAAGCACCTGATATCAAATACAAATCAACCAAATAAGAAAATGCTTTCAGAAGACAGAAAATCATAAATTTAATATCTATATCAGCTGCAATATCCATGTAAATTTAATAGCAAGTTTAACATAGCACAACAGAGAACCTTATTACAATTTACAGCCTAATGCTTTAACTAACTACATATCTAGAAAGTAAAAAACAAGTTGTTGTACACCTGGAATAATGAGTACTCAACATATGCATATATAAGTGGATTGTGGTCGAATACTCAACATTTTAGCGATATAGTAAATTAATAAACACATTTGAATTCCTCCTAAGGAAACCAAGCAAATAGGACTTCAATATCTTCTTCTTGACTTCTTTGACAACCATAATAAGTTCACGTTATAAAATTTGGAAACTCGAGAGAAAAGACCTCTTAAACGAGAATGAAAAAAACATGAAAGTAGGTTGATTCAACATACAAAATAAATGTTCCTATGAAAACACATGAGAAGTTTCACATTATAAGAACTTAGAGCAGCAAAACCTAAAGGAATTCAAGTTAAAAATTATTTACTTGCACATTAACATCATTGCAAATAAGTTGGTGTTAATTAGGAACGAAAAGGGATAAAATGAGGATTTTTGATAGCTTTACGAGACTATGGTATTTCAAGCATGTATAACTTGTCCGAGCTCGGATATAAGTTATTCAAGATGATATGGAAAGCTAACAAACAGCCCCACAACTTTTAAGTTTTGAGTTTCTGCAGATTTGGGCTGCTTCTAAGACGAAATTGATGTCGAAGGCGGGAAAGAGCTGCTGGACATCAGCTGACAGTAGCCATAGTGGCAGAATCAAGAACTTTAATGTGTTGCTCTTGCGCAAATCGATTGCAAGCTTGTCAAAAAAGAATTTGAAAAAAGAAGTGGATACCTCAAATCGATACCTCAAATTGATAGGAAGAGTATAAATCGTAAACTACACAAAACCACACAAAACTTAGAATTATCAAGAGTATGAATTGATAGAAAATTACAGAGCACTACACATTTAATTAACACCGGATTCATTGTTGTGTATTTCCATCGGAAGAAAAAATTAATTTTGACTTCTACAATTCCTTTATGTGTATACACAGATCTTGGTGTATTTCTCTTGCTCATTTAACCTTGAGTAGATTGTATGTAAAGATAGGGACCATACTCAGGGGCCGTTTACCAAACACTTATACGGGTAAGTGCTTAACAAGCTACATCACCTCACAGGATGAATATGGTAAGGAACAAAAATCTTACCCGGTAAGAGCGAAACAAGGACCAAGAGTCTTACCTGGTAAGTGAAGTCGATGACTCTTACCATGGTGAGCACTTACTGGGTAAATTGTTGCATACGATGTTGTTTTGGTAGACTAAAATCTTACCCGATAAGTAAATAATGGTGTTAAATTTTACCGGTAAGCACTTATCGGGTAAGTGTTTGGTAAACAACCCCTCATTTAACTTCCAAAAAATTGAAACTAAATTTAAGCAGTTTTAATCAGATTACTGGACAATTTTTGATGGTTGGATGGCAGTCTTGTGGGCTCTAAGTACTTGTCTACACCACATCTAGTTTCAAAAAAGCAACCAACACATTTCATGGTTTGGAATACCCATTTTCTTTGGGGGGAGTGTGTGTGCAGTCTTTATTCATGTATGGAAGAGTGTAGAGACGAAAATAATATTGATTTCAAGAAGACAACTAATACTAATCGGTAGAAAAATCAATTTCAAGAAAGCAACTAATACTATATTACTCAATAGAAAGCAACAAAAAAGTATTCGATAGAAAAATCGATTCCAAGATGGAAAACTAATTACCTCGATCGATCAATTTCGGTAGGTGGAGACTGAAGCAAGAAACCAATCTACAAGCACCTGATATCAAATACAAGATAGTATCGATTAGCTTAATTTAATGTGTTCTTACAACTTACTTACTTGGAAACAACGATTAATTGGCAATGAGCCTCCAATAAATTAGCCGATAGTTTTGAAAAAACTGTACCAAACAATGAATATGTATCTAATTCATATGTTTAAACAATTATTGGCCAAAAGGGAGAGTATATACATATACCTTGTTCAGGTACAATTAACAGCCATCCTGGCAGCCCTTGCTTCGTATGTACATGCAGGAACCTAATACAATCCACAATGATAAAAGAAAAACCGGATATCAGGAATTAATAACTCAACTGTTGCACTGGTTATTAAGGTTGCAATACATGCATGGGCCTCGGGTAACAATGAGAAATCATTAGCTTCACATCTATGTATAACCAACGATTTTAACCACTCACCAACAAATCTCATGGCATAAATGTCTGACATGAGGTAGATGTCTATTACATGTATCTCATGTTGTTGATAGTCTCAAGATTATTCAGGGGATAAAGAACACGACATCATCAATGAGGCCATCTAGAAGGACAAATTATACCAAAACCTGCAATAAAACATGCCTTTGTATCAGCAATAGGAGATACAGTTGCCTCCTTTGTGAAAAAAAAAACAGTTCTATCGACAAAGAAACTACTTCCTTCAACATAGAATCCACCAACAAAAGAATGTAAAATAAATCCCATWTCATAAAAAGATCTAGAGGGAATCAAACATAGTGAAATAAATAATCTTAATCAATGAAACATTAACAATAAAAGACCAAGTTTAAGAACTTACATAATCCTCAAAAAGAGACTGATATGATGTTCCAGCTAGATACATTTACATATCAGGGTGACAGAGGCTTAGTGAAAAGCCATCCTTTGAAGTTGGGTACCTGAGGAAAATAAACCCATAACAAAATCTATAAAGCAATGAAGCATATGAGAAAAATAAACCCATAAAAAATCTATAAACCAATTAACCATATGAGGAAAATAAACTCATAAAAAAACTATAAACCTATAAGTCACTACAGACCATTGAAGCAATGTAGTACACTGCAGACCATTAAAACATGTATTTGGCATCCTCGCAACAAACATATGCTAATTGCAACCTCATCGTGTGTGTTGTAGACTTCATGTTGCAGACCTCAATGGTCAATCGTTGAAAATGATTCATCACAATAAAGGTTTGTTGGGTCAGCAGACTCGGTGTTCCCTCGGCAGGTCAAATCCTCGTCCTTAAACCCACCGCTCCTGTAGCAATGCAGGAGCATCCCACATCGGTGAGGCTAGGGAGTCTTCTCTTCCTTATAAGAAAGTGGGAGTCTTCTCCTACCAGTGACGCGTTTTAGAAAACAAAACCGTGAGGGGTTGTTGCCGTACGGGTAAACCCCGGGGCAGCCCAGAGCGGACAATATCACGTGGGCGGCTCCCTAGTGCAGTTACCGGTCCAACAATTCGTATCAGAGCTAGGGCCGCACTAATGTGGGGGGGGGGGAATGTTGGGTCAGCAGACTCGGTGTTCCCTCGGCAAGTCAAATCCTCGTCCTTAAACCCACCGCTCCTGTAGCAATRCAGGAGCATCCCACATCGGTGAGGCTAGGGAGTCTTCTCTTCCTTATAAGGAAGTGGGAGTCTTCTCCTACCAGTGACACGTTTTAGAAAACAAAACCGTGAGGGGTTGTTGCCGTGCGGGCAAACCCCAGGGCAGCCCAGAGCGGACAATATCACGTGGGCGGCTCCCTAGTGCAGTTACCAGTCCAACAAGGTTAAATTTAAGTCAAACTCAGAACACCAAGAACCAAACACAATTTAAATTTAGGTCAAACTCTTACCTAAAGATGGAGAAAGTCGAATATGAGATTAAAAATTGAAGAATGATGGGAACAATTGATCGATGGGAACAAAAGTGAAATCGATCGATGGAGAGAAAGATGAAGACAAAACTAATTACCTTGAATGTAAGTGAAAGGGAAGGAAGATGAACAATTGATGGATCGAGAATGTAAAAACTAATTACCTTGAATGCAATCGTTAGATGAGCGATGGATAGAGAAAGGATTCAGCAACCTAACTATAATTTTTTGAATCGTCCAAAGCGTGAAGGCATGGAGAATGAAAGAAGAAAACAGAACCAAATGAAATGGGAACATTGGAAGTCTGATTTTGATTTTGGGAGGCTGAAGAGGCACATTGATGTATGATGTGGGAGGATGAAGAGGCATATTAGGAGGATGAATCGACACTCATGATTTTTTTATGTGGGTTTTTCAACAGGTGCAGATTATTATGTATGTAACTTTGGATTAAGTGATGCAGTTCTTCAAAAAAACATAGATTATGCTTGTGGAAATTTAAACAAATAATCGGTCAAATCAAACTTTTGTAAAATAAGGCTTTCAGATAAAAAAGAAGGGAACTTTACCAAGTTCGGAGAAGAAAAGAAGGAACATGGCGATGGAAGAGACGATGGTAATGACACCACCTCCTCATTTAATTTAGGAGTACGCATCCAAATTCTGAACTTTATTGAAAATCCTCTCCATAATTCCCCAGGACACAGATTTAGAAAAACCCTAAAACAACAAACACTATTCTTGAAATTCAGATGCTCTTCTTTGGAAAATCAAAACAAAAATTCCTTCCTCCTTTAGGGTACGCATCCAAGAATTGTAAACCAAAAAGTCCCCAATTTGGGGTGAAACAAAATAATAACACCATATCCATCGAAAACCATGCAATAAAGGCTTGTACCTTATGCAGTAATGGAAATTTTACACCAACTTCACACACAAAAGTTTCCTTTCTGGGCTAATTTTTTTTTCCCAGAGCAATAATCTCAAAATCCAGAGAGATATTCTATATTCTATAATGGCTTATACATTATGCAATGAATGTTGTACATGCCTAATCAATTGGGTCTTCAAGCACAATTTCACTTTGTCTTCAAGCTAACATGTGGGTCTTCAGAATGTCCATAGGTTTTGCAGTAGCATCATTGATGAGTTAAATCAGTTGACCACACCACAAAGTAGTTTTTATACTTCCACTCAAGTCCAGAAGACCAAACCATTTTATAACCATTTTCTTTGGGAGAATCAAATGACATTTCCATATTGAGCTAAAAGTGATTTTTTTTTAAATATTTTTAAAAATGTCAATCTAAAAGTGATTTTTTTATGAACATAATATAAATACAAGTTTCGATAAAATTTAAATTGTTTATAGTAATTGTATATTATATTCAAACCATATTAAAAATATAGTGACTTCAAAAGTGTTATTAATTATACAATAAATAGTATTTCAAATCTCTCAGACCTTTGCCAGATAATATTTTTAAATAGATGTTATATATCTTTTTTCCATAACATTTTAATCTATAAATTAATATACACACACGCACACATATATATACATATATATATATATATATATTATCTTTTACATATTATCACAACCTACTTCATTTCCAACACTAAATATAACTATTGTTATACTTTGTTTTTTTATATTAAAATTATTATAAAGTACCTTCATAAATTATATGGTATAACTAGTAGTTGTAACGATTATATGAATTATAATATCACTATTCATGTCACAGACTATTCATATCAATGTTCATGTCACTATTCATAACACTATTCACGTTTACTATTCAGAACGTGACATCCATTCTAGTGGTATAAAATTTATAAAATATTGAATTGAGGAGAAGATGATAATGTGCATCCAAACAAATCAACTGGAGCTTATGAAAACCCTCAACCRTCTGCATTTTCTACCGATACATTATCTTTCAGTTCTATTTATTCTTGTTAAATTATATGGTATAACTAGTACTTGTAACTTAAAAAAAGTCAATTCAGGTGTTTAATTCTCGTCAAGATCTAATTGATTGGGTACGCAATGTGACATTTTCACTTGGTTTTGTTATTGTTATCAAAAGAAGCAAAAGTGACTCACGTGGGGACCTATCGAAAGTTGTATTGCAATGTGATTGTGGTGGTATGCACAAAGGTAACAAAACCTCTAGTAAACATACTGGGATAAGAAAAACAAATTGCCCATTTTGCTTGGTAGGAAAGCATTTGGGTAATGATTGTTGGATGTTAACTGCGAAATGTGAAGCACATAATCATGACTTACATTACATCTTGAGGGTTATGCATATGCAAGACGACTGTCTGAAACTCAAGCTTGATTGGCGGAAGATTTATCGGCCAACAATGTAAAGCCTAGAGATATTTTATCAACAATCAAACAGCAGTATCCAAATAATATGTCTTCAAAAAAGACGATATACAATCAATGCTAGAAACTTCGACTTAAGAAGAATGTAGGTAGAACTCCAATGCAAGTTATGATGTCATTTTTACAAGATGAAGGCTACGTATATTATGATCAGGCAAATGACTCGACCAATGAATTGGAAGATTTATTCTTTGCTCATCCTAGAATATAATATCCGTATTTCGTTAACTCGTACAAATTGGGTTAAGTGAATTTTTGGTAGACTAGTGGTACCCGTGCGATGCAGCGCGGGTAAATGACAATCCAAAGACATTAGTCTGGCCTTGAATCATGAGTTTGTGTGGTTATTTTATAAGTCAACAAATATATAAAGTTGAAGGTTAATACGGTGTGTTAGCAAGACCCATTTAAAAAAATTGCACACATGTTGGGTTTMTGAACCCATTTACTCATAGCTCATTAGAAAACTTGAAATTTTTTTKACTGAACAAAGAAWTACAATCGTTTGTAAATAATGTTCATYMGTATATCCAAACTGTTGTTTGTTTTTCGTGATGCACTCATCCGTAAATATTTCCTGCAAAAAACAGCGCAATGGTTTTAATAGAAACATATGGTACCAAATGTGTAATAATATAATTGTTGATTATACCTTATTCATCACGTAAAACTTCTTAATAGACGGCGTTTGAGATGCAGACTCTGGCATGATTGAATTTTTTGAACAGGCTTCACACAATCAGTAATGCTCCTGGAAGCTTTGCTCACACACAAGTGTGTGAGAGGACTCTTTCACAAGAAGAACCATAAGTCATTTCTAATTGGACCCTAACATGTTTTCCAAAGAATGCTTGCCTGACTTATGATGGCTTATGGCCTCGGCTTATGTAGTCTTAAGAAATCAATCTTCTATAACATATGTGGGATACCAGCGACGCTAACAAAATGCATGTAGATGGAAAATAGACGGTATTTACCAAATCAATCTTTTTGACTAAGCATTTTCAAGTAAGATGAAATGGAAATAGAACTTGATCAACTAAGAACTTACTTATTTCACTTTTTGCATGCTAACAGTCATATAAAGWTAACTACAAATAACAATTTCTTTACAAAGTGTAACAATTTTAATATTAGGAATTGGTTGTCTATGAATTTGCGAACAATTTTAGCAAAGCATGAATGAAATCTTTGCATGCAATGAAGAAAATACATTTCAAAGCATGAAAAAGGAAAACCGTTCACGTACCTCCTGTATGCGGTCCAAGGATCGAATGTTATATCTAGTGTGTCCAAAGATGGTGAAAGTCCTYCGTGCAAGCAAAAGATCTATAACATATCAACAAACCGATTAATAAGATGGTGTTGTGTTCATTACAGCAGTCACATGGARTGTGTATAAGATGAAATGGAAACATAATGTAGTCCCAAACATGTGTCTAGATGTGTGTGTGTGTGTGTATAAGATGATGCAACTCGTTTACATGCTGGGGGGGCGTGTTTACACCATCACATTGTCCGGTGCACATCTAGACATTCCCACAATACCAAAGGCCATTCATGAATAAGGTGCATATAATCAAGGCATATCCTATATATGTAGATATGTATCAGGTCATGAATAAGGTGCATATAATCAAGGCATATCACATTTATATTGGTCGTTAAGACAACATAGGGGCCTCAAGATGAAGGAATTCAAGATGCAAAAATTGTTCAGAAACGTGCTCATTAAAACGCCTCGTATGCAACAATTTTTCCCATCTTATTTGTCAACTAATAAAGGCATTCAAGATGCAGAAATTGTTCAGAAACGTGCAAAAAATGTTGATAAAATTAGATTGCTAAAACAGACAGCACCTGAAACAATATATTTGCGTACAAAGTTTCCCTTAGCCGCTTGAGCTGCGAAATAAATGAGCTGCAAAATTCTGAGTTGGCTGGTGAGTTTGGGTTCAAATCACAGAGCAACGGCTACAATCAAAGAAACCAAATTGGAACAAACTTTTAAGAAATAACCATTGCATTCATACACCAAAAAAATGCATGATATACTTGTCAATCTAAATAAGAGTTCATTAGCCTTTTTGGATTTTTTTTGCACTCTCCTATGGCACATTTGAAACGTGTATGTCTCCTATGATCTACTTAACTTTTATCCTTCAACATCTATTTTTAAATAATAGATCTTATAGCAAGCAATTCTTCCTTCTTTACGATAATAGATTACTTCTCGTTTCCTTAACATGTAGAATTACACATAAACATAAAAATACATGCAGATATTTAACATGTTGCATCAAATAATTCAAATTATCATGTATGCATACATGTACTGCATAGCCCACGATCACCAGAAAGGTTAAATRGAAACAACTTATATGTTAATGTAAAMAGGATATATGTACAGCACTACACWTATGAAAATGGAGGTGGTTTATGTATGTGAGTGAGAGTGGTTAATACTTTTGAGTGCCTAATGTCTAATACTTTTCAACATTTGATAATAGSCCCCTAGGACAGCTTAAACAACCCTTAAAACAATCCCTTTAGCTGCCGATTTCGGGCCTGCAYAGTTCTTATAGTTGCTGATTTTTAGYGGCTGGTTTTTATCTGSAAAACAGCTTCTTTAGCGGCWGATTTTTAGCCACAAAACAGCCCCATAGCTGCTGATTTTTTGCAACAAAACAACCCCTTTAGGTGCTGATTTTTACACACAAAACCRTCCCTTTAGCTACYACTTTTTAAAGATTAACTGAGGAGTGCRATGTATAATGACACATATCATATGCKTGCACTATCCAAACACAATCCCAAAGYAGAAGAACATGGATCAATTTTAATGATTTGTGCAAAGTAGCAGGATAGGAAGAAAGCAAGCTTTGACATATTGACAATA